AAGGAGAGCAAAATTGGTCAATGAACTCTTCACGCATTTTTGCCCATGTGGTGATGGATCCTAGGGGAAGTGATTTCAGCCAATCTTTCGCAGCCCCTTTAAATGTGACCGGTAGCATACGAAGCAAAACAGTCTCACGAGGAACGTTCGGGATGTTGAAATAGTTGGCTATGTCGTTGACCTTGTCGATGTGCTTGTACGCGTCTTCGTGATCTTTCCCGTAGAATGGGATGTCCTTGAGTTGAGCGAGAATGTGGCCTTTTAGCTCAAAGGTAACAGTTGCTGGAATTGCGGGTTGCACTAGTCCCGTCCCAGTATCATTACACGGCCTCTTCTTGTATTCACCCATGGTGAGATCGACAATGTTAGCCCTGGTGTTATCGGGTTCGCCTTCTATGTCGCTTCCTTCTTCGGTTTCGGTTTCGGTTTCGGTTTCTTTTGGATTGGGGTTAAATCCAAAGCCTTCTATCTTGCTTTCTTCACTCTTTTGGTTTCTAGACTCTCCTACTTTCTTGATTTTCTTCTTTCCAAAGAACGATTTAAGGTCCTTGAAAGGTGATTTCTTTGGCGGGTTAGTCTCTTCAACGGTCTTCTCCTTATCCATCCTCAAAGCTGATTCCGGATTTTCAAGAGGTGGTACCAAAGATGTGTTCGATCCCCGGGTCATAAAATACCTGAAATAAATAGAAAACACGTGTAAAAAGAACAAAAGAAAACCAAAAATGAAAATAGAATATTGCTGCGATGGACTCGTCGAGTAGCTGCGTCTGTACACGGCAAATCAAAGGTAAATCAGAAAAAAATTTAGAACTAAAATCCAAAAAACAGAAAAACTAAAACTCAATCCTAATAACTAATTTACCAAAACAGTAACTTTGTGGAAGATAGATCCCACACAAAGGATCGATAATACTAGCAATTAAATTTTATTTTAGAACCGTTCCCCGGCAACGGCGCCAAAAACTTGATGTGTGTTTATTTCACTAGTTTTAGTCCTACTTTTTAAATATAATTAAGACACACAAAAGGCAGTGTACCTGTCAATTGGTGGTATAATTAAGCAAGCAGGGTATCGAACACAGTGAATGGTAAATAAACTAACTACTAAATTATCTAAAAAAAACAATTAATAAAAGAAAAGAGGTTTTATCTAGTTTTCCAAGACTAGAAACTTAAGCACTTATCTAACACTTAAACAAAGCAATTAACAACTAAAACGAGTAAAAATCAACTAAATTCAATATTAAAGGAGACTTCTATTCAGCTTCAACTAACTTATTCCTATGGTTGATTTTACGGCACGTGCAATGGATTAATTTATCTTTGGCTACCAATTAATGTGATTAGGTTTATGTTCACTATTACTAATTCTTAGTAAACAAATCAATTCAAACAGTGGCCAGTTGGTTAAACTAATGAATTTCCTAGTTTATTGATTCGGGTTTAGTAAGACTTGTAGTTAGCTAATTAAATTGCTAATTCAATTAACTTCTTGTATGATGGTTCGTCACACAAGCTCACACATTGACTTACCTATTTTCTAATTAATCTCTAGTTTCATGTTCACTATTTCTAGGCATATAACATTGTTTTCAGATAAATTATATGAGACAAGCAATCAAGAGATGTTCATGCAACTTAATACACTTGACAATTAACATAAAATAGTTATTGGCAACACATGAGGATCTTTAACAAGCTTAATCAAACAAAATTCACCAAATTAAATTAATCCAAACACAAAATCAAACCATAGTCATAAAGTTGTCTACCCTAAACAGAAGAAACAAGTTTTTAGCTCATAATCATAGCAGAAAACGTCTCATAAACTGAACCTAATGATCTAAACATGGTAAAAACACTAGATTAAGAGAAGAGAATAAGATTGTGCCTTTTGATCTCCTCAAAATTAGATGCTAGGATTGATTTTCGATTTCTAGGGCTCCAGCAATACTCTCAATCGTAATTCAGTCTCCAAGGGTTCCAGAGAAGTCTTTAGTTTCGGGCTATTATGTCCTATTTATAGATTTCTGAAAACAGGGGCGACTCGCCGAGTCCCTCACTTAAAATCCGTGTGCGGTAAGGTACTTGATACTTCGTGAATATTCATGCCTAATCGTCGAGTAGGTGTCCAACTCGCCGAGTTCTTCAGGTTTTTGACTCTTTTTCTTCTTTCTTCCATTCCCGGACTTCCGATTGCATTTCCCACTTCCTTTTGCTTCCGAGCATGTCTTTTAGGTTGAGAATATAATTTAAACATAATTAAGTACCTTTTGTTCATTAATTGCAATAAAATAGCCAAAAAGTATTAAGATTCTACACAAAATATATAACTAAATATGCACATATCAATAGAGCCCAATACCAAACCCTTGGTCCATAACACTCTTTAATAACCTCAAACTCTTGCATGATTGAGAAATATAGCAATAAAGACTTCATTTTTATGACACAAGATCCTCAAAAACAACATAAAGTGATGAACTTGATCTCAGGAATAGCTTTTACTCACAAGAACCAAACCATGGGACCCAAAGCATGCAAATATCAAAGCTAGTCTAGATCTAAGCCATAGAATCATGAAGGTTAGAGCTTTATACCTCCAGAAGCTTGTAAAAGTGATGAAGGCTCTGGATCTTCAAGCTCTAGCAACTACAATCCTCAAAGAAAAACTTCTACTCTTTCACTATGCACTAAGAACACATAAAATAGGCTTACACAAGCTAATCAAGGATTAGGGTTTTGAAACGCTGGTTGGGGAGGATAGAGACTGAATATGGGGAGGCCTCATGGGACTTAAGGTCCTTAAATATGGGCTCAACCATAAAATTTAGGGTTTGGGACCTGCATGAGTACGCCATGCGTACTCCTTACGTACGCCTAGTGTACTCGAAAAAGTCCATGTCCATCTTAAATGATGAACACCCTGCATACACATCATGTACACCCGACGTACTACCAACTCCCATTTCAATCTTAATTTCAAACTGCCATAACTTCTTCGTTCCAACTCTATTTTCGGTGTTCTTTATATTCTCGGAAATGTATTGAAGAGCCCCACAATCCTATCTCATTACTTTTGACTTAAACCATATCGAACTAAATTTCTTAATTTACGCAAGAAGCCCGATCTATAATTTTTCCCCTTTCTTCCCTTTGGGTCCAACATACAAATCAAGGTGTTACAACCAATATTATCAACCTTTAATAAGGCCCAAATTTACTTTCTTAAATCCAAAAGCCTTGACATGATTGAGTTCCTGTCCACAATCTTGAATTTAGACATGACCCGAAACAGGGTGTTACAATAAACTGCATGGATAGTCGTTGTGGTCTGGGGCAATATGTAGACTTCGTTTCTAACTCTTTTTTCCCCTCAGATGGCATCTATGGTATTTGTTTATTGGTGATTTCGTCATTAAGAGACCTGAAATGATATTACCCATTATCTTCTTAATTTCTATTTCTTATTTTTATATTTTTTATATAATTCATTATAGTATTATTTAAAGATGGTTCAACCAATCTCATCCTCACTCACTCGTTTCTTACCTTTCTCGACTCGACGGTCTCCATCCTTTTTCGTTTATAAAAGACACCAAATGATAAAAAAAATCTCTATTCGAAAGAAACCCATCATACCACATCATCTCTTTTCGCCACCATGCATTTTGCAAAACCAACTACATCACTGCCCTCACCCCACTATCCTCGCCCATTTTGCTTTAGTTTATTTGCAAAACCATCTACATCACTTCCCTCACCCTACCGTCGTCACCCCTTTTGCTTTAGTTTATGCTTTAAATATGTGATGAAGTTTTTACTATAATTCGCAGATATAGAATTCCTCCTTCACAAGAAAACCACCACACCACATTTGTGTGTTTTTTCTTTATATTTTACATTTGATGTAAGTCACATGTGGAACCATATTTTCTTGTTGGAATAGATTGAATAATGTCATTAAAGCATCCACCAACACTATTCATCTTTATGTGGATTTTGTAGCGCTTTCTTGAAAATGATAATTTCTTGTTAATTTCATGTTGTTTGGAACCTATTATGTGATTTAGGTCTTAGATTTTGGTTTCATTTGATCAAGTTATTTTTTTATCGATTTTTACATTTACCTTTTATTCAGTTTAATTGGTTTTAATATAGTTTTGCGATCCTGGTTTCATTTGAGCTTCGATTGGTGTTTTAGATTCTAGTTTCATTTGGTTGCATAATGTATTAATTTTCAAGGTTGTTTGCGTTGACATCTAGTTCTTTTGACTCTTTTGGAAGATAATTGGAAGGTAATGAGAAATATAGGAAGGGGTGGGTGGGGCCCATTTACTTATAATATTAATATAAAATAAAAAAGGGTTCAAAAGAGTCATTTTAGATGCAATAGTGACGAAACTGCAACAAATAAATATAAAGCACACAACTTTCAGAGTAAAAAAATAGATATGAACCACATATATTATCCCAAACCATAGGGACCATTCATATAACTTACTGTAATTTATAATTACAAAAAGAACATCTCGATAATAAGAGAGAACTACAATACCACTCACATGACTCACCCTCCCAACCATCCACGCTTGCCACCCTTAACCTCTCAATTTATAATTTTATTTTGTTTTCCTATTACCAATATCTATATCATTATAGTTTACAATTAAATTATAATTTGATCCTCTCACTATATTTTCCCATACAGACTTCAAATATAAGGAAAATAAATACGTATACGACTGCAGTAAGTTTAAAATGTTTAAATCAAAGATCATATAAACAATCATGTAGAGTTATAACATTATGAGAAATATAAATAGTATTGCAAGTACGATATTACAATATCAATACATATCATGCAATTAATAGTATATAGGTAGTCAATATATTTTTTTCCATTATTAGACAAGTAAATATACAAGTAAAGTGATTAGGTATATAGGTAGTCAGATAATGTATGATAGGTATGATGATAATATGTAGAAACGATAATGTCAAAGGATGTTGTTAGATAAAAGGTGTTGGAGATCTTCTTCCCCTCCACGAAAAGCATCAAGGAGGCATTGGAAGAGGAGGACCTGGCAAGGGATACGTAGAACGCCTTTTTGTTGGTAACCGTACTCCTGAGCTGATTTATTGAGGAGGTTTATAAATAGAGGATGGTTTAGTAGGTCCATGCTGACGACAAATCGTTCCATCTCTTCCCCGACATAAAATGGCAAGTAGCCCTCAGGTACGTTTAATGAGTGATGAATAGGAGAGGCAGAGCGTACGAGAGAGGTATGGGAGAGGCAACACATGAGTTTGTTCATGGTAGAATGAGAGAAAGATGTTGTGATGAAAAGTGAGAAATATAAGTGAGTATAAATATACGGGGAAGAGAAAGAGTGAGAGAGACAAAGAAAGAAAGATAAAAAGATAAAAAGATAGAAAGATAGAAAAAAAAGTGTTTTGGAGAGAGTACATGAAGGTGTACTTAGCAGATACTTATATGAATAATATTTTTTCCCTTCAGTATTTTAGGATTTTTTTTTAATTCTTTTTAAATACATTTTATTTTAAAAAATCTCTATAATCGTATCTTCACAAGAATCATTTAATTCAAGAAAAGACGAAATCACTAGAATCATTGATAGGAGAAAATTATATGGACTAAATCCAAGTTGTTGTCCTCAACATATTGATATCATTATAGAACTATACCTTCATTAAATGATGAGTATGTTTTTAGATACACCTGTATCATCTTTCAGAATTTAGTGCATCTTTGATCCTTTATCTTATCACTTGTCCTTTAAATGTTGATGAACAATATACAATTAGTAATAGATTAGAGTAAAATAAGTGAGACACAATTTCTAACATCCAAGTTAATGGTAGAAATCAACTTGAGTTAGTTTAATAAAAAAAAATCAATTAAAGAAATTCGTACGACCCATCTTATTAATTTCAATATAGAGTTCAAATAAAAAATCTGAATTGGATCGAAAAACTGTCTTCATAAAATCAAAAACTTGCATAAATACCGATAGAATCAGTTTCTTCATAAAATAAAAACTTATATAAATACCCTTATGGGCGAGATTAATAGTTAAATACATTCTTTAAACATTCAATATCTTCTTCAAATAAAACCCTTAAAATATTAGAATGTTTTGATTCTATCTTTGATCCTTATAGTAGATATGTTAACGGACCTAATGTATTTGTCTATTTATGTATTGTATTTCTAGTTTACTTGGCCAATTGTATTGTGGCCCTTTTCCTTTCTATTTTGTATATATATATATATATATATATATATATATATATATATATTCCTCATTAATGAGATACAAGATATGGGAAAATACAAGTTAACATGGTATCAGGCTTAACCTTCTAAATCCTAGCCAACACATCCATTCTCCTGTCCATCTCCTTCTTTTCTTGTCATCATGCCTGCTGCAGACTCTTCTTCTTCATCGAATATTTCTGAAAAACCTACCTCTACCATCAACATCAAACATGTTATCCCTCTCGTTATTGATCTAGATCAAATGAATTATGATATATGGAGTGAACTTTTTGAAATTCATTGCATCGCTATGGTGTAGCTAATCATCTTCAACCTCTGGATGAAAACAATCATGTCAAAGATGCAATCAAATGGGACCGGCTGGACTCAATCGTAAAATCAAGGATTTATGGTACTCTTTCTCTTTCTCTTCTCCACACTATCTTCAAAAAGAAAGCTTCTACATATCAAGTTTGGAGCACTATTGAGAAGGTTTTTCGTGACAACAAGGAGTCTAAAATTATTCATCTTGACAATGAAATTTGTAATATTTCCATCGATGATTCCTCTATTTTTGATTATTGCAACCAAATCAAATCCATAGTTGATCAACTTGACAACATGGGTGTTCCTGTACCTGAAAATAATTTCGTTGCTTATACCCTCAATGGTTTGTCTTCTAAATTTTAGTACATTAAGACTACCATTCTTCACAAAGATCCTCTACCTACCTTTTGGGATACTCGATCTATGTTCCTATTGGAAGTAGTTTATCTAATTTTGTTTCTACTTTTCCTTTTGAACTTGTTCATTTTGATGTTTGGACCTCTCCGGTTACGAGTATTAGTGGCATTAAATATTATGTTATCTTTCTAGACAATTATTCTCAATTTTTGTGGGTATACCCTTTACGTGCTAAATCTGATTTATTCTCTAAATTCTTGCATTTTAGTGCCTATGTTAAAAATCAACTTTCATTCATTTTTTGCCACTCATGGAATTCAAATGCGTTTTTCATACCCTCACACATCCCAACAAAATGGAAAATCTGAATGCATGCTTCACACCATTAACAATGTTGTGCATACTCTTTTATTTCATGCTCATCTTCCCCCTACCTATTGGGTTGAAGCTCTTCTGTAACAACGTAAATTTTCATACCAAATTTTTCAATTTAAAAACACATTTATCTCAATAATAAAATCACAAAATGTCACAATGTCAAATCATCAAATCTCATATCCAAAAACTGTATATATATCAAAACTCCAGAATCCTCTCAATCATAACACAATCGCTGATGTGTGTACAATCAAGCCGGCGCCTTCCCGTGATCCTGAGAAGTACCTGAAACACATAACACATAACACATAACACGGTAAGCATGAAGCTTAATGAGTTCCCCAAAATACCACACACAGCTCATTAGCCACTCTAGGCTATAACTCAATAAGACCCTCCGGTCAATATGTCTCAGTGGGACCCTCCGGTCCCAACTCAGTAAGCTCATAATAACAATACTCAGCATAAATCACAAAGACATACTGCAGGATATTAAGATACACAGGTAAGCAAAATAAACATCTCAATCACACAAAAGTACCACTCATGGTAGGTATAGTGAGAAGACTCACCTCGTAAGCTAGCAAGTAATAGTATCGTACTCGGAAATCTCGAACTAGCCTCCGCCTAACACATAGGATAAGTATCTCTAATTAATACTCTACTCATACTCAAATACACCGAAGGTTGTTCTCCCTTTCTCTCTAACTCTTCTTTTACCCATCCATGGTCTCCATTACTCATGCTGACCAAACCCTAAAGTCAACAAAAGTCAAACTCGAGTCAACAGTCCAGGTTTGACCTGACTCGCCGAGTGCACTCGTGTGACTCGTCGAGTCCACTCGTTCCTCAGAAGTCTCGTGAAGGTCCAGCTCGTCGAGTCGGCTCATTGCTCGGCGAGTCCATTCAAACTCATTTCTCATTCATACGATTTCAAGGCAGAGAACCTTCCCAAACTCTAGATCTAGACTCTAAAGGCTCGTTTATCATGTAAATCCACGAGCTTTACGTCCATGCATGGCACTTTGTGCATGAAATGCCAAGAACATGATCTAATAAGGGTTTTTCACTCAAGAGCTCTATTAGGGCTGAATAAAGCAGGGACCTTTGGGCTCTAGGGACCTCACAAGGTCCAGATCTGAAGTCCCAACCTTCATATGAATTCAATACCCTCAAAGTCCCAAAAATAGATAGAAAAGAAGCCTTAATCTCCAATAATATGAGATCTACCCAAAATTATGAAAAAGGTATAAACTTTATACCTTTTACAGAAGCTCTTGGATGAATAGCAACAGATCTAACAGCCTCTTCACGACCCTTGCTTGAAATCCTTCTCTTCGCTTCAAAAAAATGCACCAAGATACTCAATATTAGCTCACACTCTCTCTATTTGCTCAAAGGGACGATTAGGGTTTCTCTCAGTGAAGGTAAGTAGCTGATGAGCCGCAAATGAAGCTTTAAGTGCCCTTAAATAGGCCCCAAACCCAGGGATTTAGGGTTTCACTTCACAGCGTCTACTCGGCCAGTCGATTCTCTGACTCGTCGAGTAGATCATTAATCCTACGTGGCACAACGCGACTCTACTCGACGAGTCGTAGCACCAACTCGTCGAGTTGCTCAATAGCCCATAATAAAATAAATAATAACCAATATACCTGGAAATTCGGATGTTACAATTCTCCTCCACTAGAATCAGACTTCGCCCTCGAATTCATGCTCCAAAAATAACTCTAGATGCTGCTCCCGCATCTCAGACTCTGGTTCCCAAGTCAACTTGGACCCTCTCCGATGCTGCCACTGGACCGGAACCAGGGGCACCTCTTTGATCATCAGAACCTTCACCTTTCGATCGAAGATCGCAATCGGCCTCTCAATATAATTCAGGCTCACATCCACCTGAATGTCCTCTAATGGAACCACTGTCGTCTCATCGACTACACACTTCCTCAGCTGGGACACGTGGAAGGTGTTATGAATCTGACTCAACTCCGCAGGTAGCTCCAAACGGTACACTACCTTACCCACTTTGGCGGTCACCCTGAAAGGACCGATGTATCGGGGCCCCAACTTGCCCCTCTTCCTGAATCAAATCACCCCTTTCCACGGGGATACCCTCAGGAGGAAAAATTCTCCAACCTGAAACTCAAGCTCGGATCACCGCTTGTCTGCGTAACTCTTCTGGCGACTCTGGGCCGTCAGTAACCTCTGTCTGAACTACTGAATCTTCTCAGTCGTCTTGAGCACTATCTTAGTTCTACCCATCACTCGCTGTCCCACCTCTCCCCAACAGATAGGAGTCCGACACCTCCTCACATAAAGAAGCTCAAAAGGAGGCATACCAATACTGGAATGGTGGCTATTGTTGTAAGAAAGCTCAGCCAAGGGCAGATATGTGTCCCAACTTCCACTGAAGTCCATAACATATGCTCGAAGCATGTCCTCGAGCGTTTGAATCATCCGTTCACTCTACCCGTCTGTCTGTGGGTGGTAGGCTATACTGAAGTGTAATCATGTACCCAACTCCTCATGAAACTTCTTCCAGAACCTGGAAGTAAAGCGCACATCCCGATCTGAAACTATCATTGTCGGCATCCCATGCTGAGCTACCACCTCTCTTACATATATCTCAACCAATATCTCTGCAAAAGAACTCTCACTAATAGCAAGGAAATGAGCGCTCTTCGTCAACCGATCCACAATCACCCAAATCGCATCGACACCTCGCACGGTCCACGGCAATTTGGTGATAAAATACATGGAAATTTGTTCCCACTTCCACTAGGGAACCTCTAGTGGCTGCAACTTGCCATGAGGACGTTGGTGCTCGGCCTTAACTCGGCGACAGATCAAGCACCTCTCGAGTACCCAAGCCACGTCCCTCTTCATACATGGCCACCAATAATCTCTCTTCATGTCCAAGTACATCTTAGTGGCTCCTGGATGGATCGAGAATCTCGATCT